CTTTTTTCTTTTTGCTTATGTGGTGCTGAGGAATCCAACCCAGGGCCTCAGGCATGCAAGGCAAGCGCTCTACCACTGAGCCATCTTCCCAGCCCCCATAAGTGTTCTTTCTTTCATTTCATTTTCTTTCTTTTTTGTTGGTGTTTGTGGGGCTTTAACTCGGCCTGGGCACTGTCCCTGAGCTCTTTTGCTCAAAGCCACTTTGAGTTTTTTCTGGTGGTTAATTGGAGATAAGAGTCTCACAGACTTTCCTGCCTGGGCAGACTTTGAACTGTGTTCCTCAGATCTCAGCCTCCTGAGTAGCTAGAATTATAGGGGTGAGCCACCATCACCAGCTTATAAATGATATTTTTTCATCTTTTCTTTTTTCCCCCAGAGATCCAAGTCTTTATTTATCTTTTTGTTTATTTGCTTTTAGTTCTACACTGTGGTTGCCAGTTACAGTCTAATAATTGGGAAGTCTGTAGTCGTTGAATTTTGCCTTTTAGAGATGGCATTACCTTTGTCTTGGTCATGCCTCTCCTGGACAGTTGTACTTCACAGTTAATATTGTCTCATATTGAAACTCAAGAGCTTTCTCTTTTCTCAGTTCCCAAGACCATAATGAGCCCTTCCCTTTAAGAAAGGGGAATGAGTAGGGAGAGACTAGTATATTTGGAAGGGACACAAACCCTAGAGATGGGGCTGGGAAGGTGGCTCAGTGGTAGAGTGCTTGCCTTGCAAGCCTGAGGCCCTGGGTTCGATTCCTCAACACCACATAAGCAAAAAGAAAAAAGCTGGAAGTGGCGCTGTGGCTCAAGTGGTAGAGTGCTAGCCTTGAGCTGAAGAGCTGAGGGACAGCGCCCAGGTCCAGAGTTCAGGCCCTATGACCAGACCCAAAAACAAAAAACAAAAACAAAAACCCTAGAGACATGCTAGAGAAGAATTTGACCTAAGGTTTATAGAGATAGAGAGAGGAGACCAGCAGGTAAGAGAAGAGCTTCATCTCTCTAGGATCTTAAGTTTCCTGCAGTTTCCCAAGGAGCTCTGAGGATTGGCTACATTCATTGTGCTAGTGAAAATCATGTGGGTGCTATTTTGAACTCCAAACTAATATATTCATTGATTAATATATTAATCAGTCGTTGTCTAAAAGAAGTATTTTTGACTCATCAGAGGGTTCCATGTTATGGAGTAAATGCAGTGGGTGTGTGCGTGCGCGCGCGCGCGCGCGCGTGTGTGTGTGTGTGTGTGTGTGTAAAAGTCTCACTTGTATTAAAATGAAATGAAATTGATTGCTTTGGGAACAGGAATTGACATTTTGGTGAACAATGCCAGTGCTATTAGCTTGACCAACACGTTGGAAACACCTACAAAGAGAGTGGACTTGATGATGAGCGTAAACACCAGAGGCACCTACCTCACGTGAGTCATAAACAGTGCTAGGAGAGAACATCACAGTGTTTTCTCAAGGAATCCACCTGGTCCTAGACAGATGTGAACCAGATTAGCAGTATAGTTCAAACTCTAATCAATAAATTTTAATGATCTTATTAAGTTACCTGTGACTGAGAGTTTTCAGTACAATATGCAAGATAGAGCTTGTTGCCATGAAACCTGTACTTGACTGGGAATGAGTAATGTGGAAGGCGAGGAGGCCTGCAGAGTGCAGGTAGAAAGGTTCTGTCTAATAAATCAAATGAATGCTCCTGTTTACAGTGATAAATGAAATGAGCTCTTTGCTTTGGCTGTAAAATATGATCTTACTTGTCTGCCATAAATTCAAGTTTGTTTCCCATTTATTTTCCTGTTTATTGACTTTTGTTGGAGACACAGTTTCACTGTTTTAATGAAAAATCAGCTATGATATTGTGTGTTTCTTCTCACTTCATCCCCATGAAAGTGAAATACCTCTGGAAATGCAAAGCAATATGTACAAAAGCCCTGTTGTGTTTGTTGTATTTGGTGCTAAGGTTGAAAACATGTTGGACTTGGTAACAAGAGTGTTAGACATTTGAAAATAAAACAACTGACTTAAAAGTGTAGTGGACTAGTTCAAGGTCCTTGATGTTCTTGAAGATGAAATGAGATATAAAGTAATGACTTCTTGTTTAAGGTATTGTAAATTAATACTTAAAATTTACAAATTTTGGACATGGATTCTTTTATAAAGTGAATTATGTATTTTTGAGAAGTTTTCAAAAATAAAATTATATAATGCTTCTAGAGGCATACTGTGTTTTGTATTTGTATAAATGGAATTTGGGAATGTACTGGGAGTTACATTACTGAATCACAGTGCTAATGTAAGTATTATGTCTACTAATAATATGTGATATTGATGATATAGCACTTAACTGTGTGTTTAGTATTTGTATGTCAGCATATTGTCAGTCTTATCTCATTTTAGTCCTTTGGTCAATTCTAAATGATAGTAGGTGTTAATTACCCACTTTTAGAGAGGAAAAAACAGAGCTAGAATGCCGTACAGTTTGCTTAAGATCATACATAAAGGGAAAGAATCAGAATTTGAACCTATGGATGTCAAATGTAATTTCAAAAAGTGGACTGCCAGGTACTGGTGGCTCACATCTGTAATCCTAGCTACTAGGAAAGCTGAAATCTGAGACTTGCAGTTCAAAGCTAGTCTGAGCAGAAAAGTGTGAGAGTCCATTTCCCATGGTCCAGCAAAAATGGTGGACTGGAGGTACAATTTCAGGGGTAGAGCCCCAACCTATGATTGAGCTAAAGCACAAGATTCTGAGCTCAAGCCCCAGTACTGTCATACACATAATACACACATACACACACACACACAAAGTGAAGCAATCATTAGATAACTATTAACATGATTTGTGTTTTCTTTCCCTTTCAGATCTAAAGCATGTATTCCTTTTTTAAAAAAGAGTAAAATTGCTCATATCCTCAATCTCAGCCCACCCCTGAACTTAAATCCAGTTTGGTTCAAACAGCACTGTGGTAAGTGGTAGGGTGAGGGGATGGTTTGTCTGGTTGTTTTGAATAAAATCAGTGTATTTATTATGTAATCACAATCTGGACATAGTATTTTAATTGAGTTTTCTTTTTTGGGGGTCATGGGGCCTGAACTCTGGGCCTGGGCACTGTCCCTCAGCTCTTCAGCTCAAGGCTAGCGCTTTACCACTTGAGCCACAGCGCCACTCCCAGCTTTTTTCTTTTTGCTTATGTGGTGCTGAGGGATCGAACCCAGGGCCTCATGCATGCAAGGCAAGTGCTCTACCACTGAGCCACCTTCCCAGCCCTTAATTGAGTTTTCTATACCAAATAAGTAAGTAGCATTTTGGAAAATAGATATTTTTTTTTCCAGTACAAAGGATTGAATCCATGGCCTTGAGCTTTCCAGGCAAATGCTCTTCCATTTCAGTTACAACCCAGCCCTTTGGTTTTATATTTTATTTATTTTTAAACTTATTATCTTTAAGTAGTTGTACAAAGGATTTGTCATTTTAACAAAGCAGTTTGTGCATATACTATATCTTGATCATTGTCACCTTTTTTTTTTTTTTTGGTTGGTCATGGAGCTTGAACTCTGGGCCTGGGCACTGTCCCTCAGCTCTTCAGCTTAAGGCTAGTGCTCTACCACATGAGACACAGCATCACTTCTGGTTTTCTGGTGGTTTATTGGAGATAAGAGTTTCATGGACTTTCCTGCCCGGGCTGGCTTTAAACCATGATCCTCAGATCTTGCCTCCTGAGTAGCTAGGATTACGGGCATGAGCCACTGGTGTCTGGCCAATGTCAGCCATTCAACATTGTCACTCAGGCCTCCTTTCCCCTCACCTTCCCTCACTCTTCTTCATTTGGTAGGATATACATTGGATTTTTTTTTTTTTTGGGTCCGGTCATGGGGCCTGAACTCTGGGCCTGGGCAGTGTCCCTCAGCAATTCAGCTCAAGGCTAGCACTACCACTTGAGCCATAGCACCACTTCGGGCTTTTTGCTTTTTGCTTATGTGGTGCTGAGGAATCGAACCCAGGGCCTCATGCATGCAAGGCAAGCACTCTACCACTGAGCCACCTTCCCAGCCCCTACATTGGATCTTGTATGCATTTTCCCCCCTCTTCTCCTCTTCATTCCTTTGTCTGCTCCTTTCGAGTATTGCTTCTTGGAGTTTTATTTTGCTGAACTTTGGTTTTGGCTTTCTAAGGAATTACACTATTTGAGATCTCCCTTGAATCTACCATATTTTAATTAAGACATTTGTATACACTTGTATATCACCAATGTATTTATTTATGAATTTGAAAGCTAAACCTAGCTTCCACATATAAGGGAAAACATAGATCCTTATATATCATCTTGTACCAGCATCAGTTAGAGATGGATTGAAGACCTCAATGTAAGACCTGAAACCATGAAACTATTACAGGATAGAATAGGGAAAACATTAAGGCTTCTGGGCACAGGTAGAAACTTTCTGAGTAAAGATCCAGAAGCACAGCAAATCAAAGAAAGACTTGATAAATGGGACAGCATCAAACTAAAAAGTTTCTACATGGCAAAAGACACAGCCAACAAGCTAAAGAGATAGCCTTCAGAATGGGAGATTTTTGCCAGCTACACATCAGACAATGGCTAAAATCCAATATATACATAGAACTTAAAAATTAAACCCTCAAAAAACCAACAACCCAATTAATAAATGGGCTAATGAGCTAAAGAGAGTCTTCTCAGAAGAAATGAAAATAACCAATAGCCATGGGAGAAAATGTTGTCAGGTAATGAGTACATTTCCTTTTGTACAGTGTCTTTCTTCTGTTCTCTCACTGTCTCCCAGTTATATTTCATTTTTGAGATGAAGTCTTGCTAATAACTTTGCTCAAGCTGGCCTCATGATTTTCCTGCCTCCTTCTCTCTCTCTCTCTCTCTCATTGTCGGTCATGAACTCTGGGCCTGGGTGCTGTCCTGAGCTCTTCAGCTCAAGGCTATCACTCTACCACAGTGCCACTTTGCCACTTCCAGCTTTTTCGATTCCTCAGAATTGAACCCAGGACTTCATGCATGCAAGGCAAGCACTCTACCACTGAGCCACCTTCCCAGCCCTCTTGCCTCCTTCTCTCTCCTGAAGAGCTGGGATTACAGGGACATGCCATGTCTGGGTGGAAAGTATATTTCTAACGATTTAGGAATATACTTAGAAAGTTGAGACATAATTTGTATTCAATAAAATCTACAAGTCTGGTTCTGCTTAATGAGGTTTAACAAGTGTATACTCCCATGTAACCATTACCTACTTACTCCATTGTAACCATTACTCAAATCAAGATATGGAAATTGAAAAATAAATAAAAAGATATGGAGTTCCATTATTTCAAAAGCTGTTTCTTGTCCCTGTGGGTGAGTTTTGTAAAGCTGGTTGAAAACTAGTCATGAAATCCTGTTTTTTTTTGTTTGTTTGATTTGTTTGTTTTTGGCTAGACCTGGGGCTTGAACTCTGGGCCTAGATGCTATCTCTGAGCTCTTTTGTTCAAGGCTAGTGCTCTACCACTTTAAGCCATAACTCCACTTCTGGTTTTTGAGTGGTTACTTGGAGATAAAGAGTCTCACAGGGACTTTTCTATCCAGGCTAGCTTTGAACTGTGATCCTCAGATCTCAGCTTCCTGAGTAGCTGGGATTACAGGTATGAGCCACTAGCATCCAGCTCACCCAGTGTGTTTTAAATATTATAGTTTATATTATTGGAAAGAATTCTCAAAAATATGCCAGGACAAAAAAATTACTAAATAAAGAAATTGGGTACTGAATTTCTTTTCTTTTCCAGACAGGGTCTCACTGTGTAACTCAGGCTGGCTTTGAACTCATGATCCTCCTGCTTCTGTTCCTACGTGCTGGGATTATAGGCATATACAACCATACCCAGAAGAAATTGGTTGTTTTTACTCTTGATTTATTTCCCAATTAAATTATTACTTTGTGATTTCTTTCAGCTTACACCATTGCTAAATATGGTATGTCTATGTGTGTACTTGGGATGGCAGAAGAATTTAGAGGTGAAATTGCAGTTAATGCCTTATGGCCTAGAACAGGTATGTGCTTTTAAAAACTCCACCTATTAAACTAACAACAGTACTTCCTGCCACTGCTAAGGCCTGAACTTAGTGTCTCATATTAGGTAAGTGTTCTATTACTGAGCTATATTCCTAGCCCTGGCCTTGAAAATCTTGAGACGCATGTCAAATAACCTGTCTCTGTCTCTTGGAAACAAGTTTAACTGTGTGTGTGTGTGTGTCTGTGTGTGTGTGTGTGTGTCTGTGTGTGTCACTGGTTCTGTGGAATGAACTCAGGGCCTGGGCACTGTTCCTAAGCTTTTTGGGGGCGGGGAGGGGTCGGTCGGTCGTGGGGCTTGATCTCTGGGCTCGGGTGCTATCCCTGCGCTCTTCAGCTCAAGGCAAATACTCTACCACTTGAGCTACTTGAGCTACAGTGCCACTTCCAGTTTTCTAGTGGTTTATTGGAGATAAGTGTCTCATGGACTTTTCCTGCCCGGGCTGGCTTTGAACTGCAATCCTCAGATCTCAGTCTCCTGTGTAGCTAGGATTACAGGTGTGAGCCACTGGCACCCAGCTGTCCTAAGCTTTTGTGCTCAAGGCCGGGCTCTGCCACTTGACCCAGAATTCTTTCAGCTCTTTGTTGGCTAATTGGAGATAAGAGTCTCACAGACTTTCCTGCCTGGGCTTGCTTCAAACCACAATCCTATGATTTTAACCTCCTAAATAACTAGGATTATAGGCATGACCTATTGACATCCAGTATGAGTATGATGGCTTTAAAGTATTTCAAGGAGGAGTAGGAATACTAAATTTGTGTCAAATGCCACAATAGTTCTATTTTTTAAAAAAAATTCTGGTACTGGGGCTTGAACTCAGCCTCATGTTCTTTCTTGGCTTCTTTTGCTCACAGCTGGAGCTCTATCATGTGAGCTGTTTGTAGGTCTAGCTTTTTGCTGAATAATTGGAAATAAGAGTCTTGAACAGTTTTGATTGCTTGGGCTGGCTTTGAGCCACAGTTCTCAGATCTTAGCCTCTTGAGTAGTAGGCTTACCACAATAGTTCCCAATAATTTAGAGACTCCCCATTGGATTAAGTAGTCTGGGTATCTCTTTTGTATCACTCACATTTGAATTTACATTATTAATTTATAATTATGGTGACTATTGCCTTCCTTGAATACAAACTTTGAGGATGGGGTAATTTATACTCTGTTCCTTTTGTTAGTTATTGTAGAAACTTGGTAAATATTTCATGAATGTGTGAATTTAGAATTCATGAATGTACAATATGGTTACTTCTGCCTAGATCCAAAATAGACATTTCAAACATATCTTACATAAGAGTGTGAACATTGTATGACAGGGAATATAGAGGGCATTATCAGGATCAGCAGGATGTTGCTGGAGATTTTGCTTTAGCTTTGAGATGTTGGTCTTAGAAGGCTTACTCAGCACCCAGAGCCAGTGTCCCTAGATTTAATGACATAGTAAATGAATTTATAATGGTGTTTCTGTGGTCCATGGTATGATAAATTGTTCTGGATACTTCAGAAACATAGCAGGGGAGCCATGTGGATCAAGATAGAGTTAGGAAAGTTGATTTTCAAAAGGAGGCATCCAAATGAAATAAAATCTTAAGGGGATATTGGAGCTGGCAAGAAGGAAAACTACCTTGGCAGAGAGAATATATGCAAAGGCTGCAGTGTAGAAACCTGTGTGTGGTGAAAGTGCCAGGAGTGCTGGGCACCAGTGGCTCACGCCTGTAATCCTAGCTACTCAGGAGGCTGAGACCTGAGGATCGCAGTTCAGAGCCAGCCTGGCAGGAAAGTCTATGAAACTCTTATTTCCAGTAAACCACCAGACAATCAGAAGTGGTGCTGTGGCTCAATGGTAGAGAACTAGCCTTAAGCTGAAGAGCTGAGGGACAGCGTCCAGGCCCAGAGTTCAAGACCCACGTCCAACCAAAAAAAAAAAAAGTGCCAGGAGTTTGATGTGGTGTACATAATATGGTGTGAGCTGTTCTTTCCCACAGTACTTGAGTAACTTGGAATTTGGGTAGAGGTGAAGGTAGAGGGGGAAATAGATGGTCTATCTAAGCCTCAGGTCTTCTTTGCCAAATCGAACAGCTTTTCTTTTTTCTTTACTTTCTCTCTCTCCTTTCCTTTTTCTCCTTCCTTTCCTTTCTTTTTTTCTTTTCTTTCTGGCTGATACCAGAGTTTGAACTGAGGGCTTCTCCCTTGGTTGGCTTGCTAGCTTAGCTGGCATTCAGCATTTTGAGCCATGCTTCCAACCTGGCCTTTTGCCAGGCCTGGCCTTTTGGAGATAGAATCTCATAGACTTTTCTTCTCAAGTTAGCTTCAAATCTAGATCTTCTGGCTCTCAGCCTTAAGAGTAGTTAGGATTGCAATTGTGAGTTACTACTTCCTGACTTGATTTTTGATACCTTGATGGTAGAAGTGATCGAACCCAGGGCATCAGATTTGCTAGGCAATGGTCTACTGCTCTGTATCACCAAACTAGCAGTTGGAATTTTCATCTGTATTCAGTGGAGAGTTTCTTGTAGAATTTTTAAATCAGGGGAATAATAAGAAGCAGAGGGGAAAATAGGAACAGTATCATGCTGCAGTTGCTCATGAGGGTGTTTAATATGGCCTCTGACTACTGGATGGCTTGTGAAAGGCCAGCCAGCAACTAGAATATACATTATTCATGAGTGAAGTTATGACAATGGATTGGAGAGGGTGTCCAGGTTCTGGGCTGTTTGTAAAGATTCCATTTTTAAAAAACACATTATTTATCCTGAACTGTATAGAAGACTGTAGTCAGAACTAGAAGTAATCTTCCAACATGATTGCCTTTGAAGGAAATGGAGATTTATCGTGGTTAAGGGAATGGATCTGTGTAACATTATCTACCATTAGAGCCGCCTCCAAGTTGGCTGCTTGTCTTGTTTTGATTCAGTGTTCCTTCTGGCCACTGGCCACATTGCCCTCCCAGATTTGAACACTTGTGCACTGTTGAATTCAATAGCACACTGCTGAGGGGATGAGAGGCAGGCTGGCCTCTGGTTGTTTGTCTCAGGCCCTAAGCTAGGTCACCTCCAGGACTATAAATTTTTCTTTTAACAAGACTTGTTTCATAGTCTTGCTGAATGGAGGATGGGCAGGAAGTAGAGATGCTGGCGGCCACTCAGAATGCTGGATATCTCTTGCCTCTTTACTGGTATGGACAGGTGTGGTGGAAATAGGAAAGTCCACTTTGGGGTGGATTTATGTGGGGCAGGGTGGGGAAGCTGCTGATATGCCGTGGCAGCACAGACAGAAGTCACAAGATGATCATAGCGCCCTGGAGGCCTCTCACCTGCAGCACACTGTCACGGATGAAGTAATTTAGCTAACCTGGGAAGGCAAGGAGATTGGGTAGCAGCTGGCTTCTACCTCTCTTCCCCCTCCCTTGTGCTGGAAACCAAATTTTCCTGTTTTTCCAGGGACTATTCACTAACTAGGACCTAATTATTGACTAAACAGCAGTGTTATCTATATAAGACGATAAAGTACACACACACACACACACACACACACACACATTTGTAGTGCTGAGGATTGAATCCATGCTGCCTATTAAGGGTCAGTGGCTTTTTTTATTTTTTATTTTTGCCAGTCCCGGGGTTTGAACTCTGGGTCTGGGCCTGGGTGCTGTCCCGGGCTCCTTTTGCTAAACGCTAGTGCTTTACCAGTTGAGCCACTGGGACCCTTCTGGCTTTTTCTGTGATTAATTGGAGATAAGAGTCTCACAGACTTGCCTGCCTGGGCTGGCTTCAAACTGTGATCCTCAAATCTCAGCCTCCTGAGTAGCTAGGATTACAAGTATGAACCACTGGCATCTGGTTACAGTGACTTTTTTAGCTTTTAAGTCAAAGTATGTATTTCCAGCATATAATAAGTTTAAACATTGTTTAAGGAATGACATAGATTTATATCTAAATTATAGAAACTCTGAAATATAAGCTACATTGAAACAGTTTGATTTTCACTGCTTAATCTGCAAACTAACATGCTTTGTGGGCAGAGCAAAGGGGAATACAGGCATGGGGGAAGGGTGAGCAAATGCAGTCATTATATTTAATGTACATTATGTAACATTTGAACTAAGTAACTTAAGGGTAAGAAAAGGAAGGGGGAGGAAATAGGGGAGAATGAAGTAATGGGTGACATTGATTCATTATACTTATAACCTGACTCAGGGCCTGGGCACTGTCCCTGAACTTCTTTTGCTCAAGGCTAGCACTCTACCACTTGAGCCATAGTGCCACTTCTGTGTTTTTCTGTTTGTGTGGTACTGAGGAATCAAACCTGGGGGCTTCAGGCATGCCAGGCACTCTCTCTGCCACTAAGCCACATTCCTAGCCCAAGTTATTTCCAGTATGTAATAATTTTAAACCGTTTAAAATAGTGGAATAGATTTATATCTAATTTACTAGAAACTCTGAAACTTAAGTTACATTGAAACAAATTAACTTTATTGCTTAATATATAAACTAAGATACATGTAAGCTAACTGAAACATTACAACTTTGATACTATATAATTAGTAATGAACCACTAGTCAGAGGGTTTCAAGTTACTTCATGTAACAGACAAAAATTTTTAAATATAGTTTTATTGTTATTATTTGGCTGCTATACAGAGGGGTTACCATTTCATAAGTCAGGTAATGAGTACATTTCTTTTTTTGGACAATAGCATCTCTTCCATCTCTTTTCCCCCATTTTCCCTCTTCCTATCTAAATGCCACATAATTCATTTTCCACTGAATAGCATGATTACTTTTGCTTACCCTTCCTCCCTCCCTTTCTGTACCCTTCCTTGCCTCCACAAAAAAAAAAAGCAAAACAAAAACAAAAGCAACACCCCATCACCAACAACCAACCCCTCGTTCCCCGTCTTTCCATTTCCTGGAACTTGTTTTTCTAAATAGTATTTTAAGTGTTCAGAGAAGTTACACCTTTGGGTTCTTCCATTATGGGTATCCTCCTGTAGTCTGACAGACAAAACTTTTTTTTCTTGTTATTAATTTACTTTATTATTATAGAAGTGATGTACAGAGGGATCATACTTACATGAGTCAGGTAATGAGTCCATTTCCTTTCATACAGTGTTTTGTGTTCACTCACTTTCCCAGTCCCTCCCTCCCATCTCCACCCATGAGTTGTATAGTTCACATTCATCAGTGTCTAGTGAGCTCCACTGCTGCTTTTTCACCTTTGTCCCTCAAGTTCTGTTCCCTTGATGTACACGTGACTACACCATACATAATGTAAAGAAGACAGAATAATCAAAAACTGAAAAAAGAAAAAAAAGAGGTCTCTTGTTTCCACATCTTAGGAGTTTGTCTCACTATGTATATTGCTTTATGTAAATATAAGAAGGCCCTTAGGCTTTGCATCTTTGTGCTTCTCTCGTAAGAGTATTCTCGCTGGGCGCCAGTGGCTCACGCCTGTAATCCTACTTACTCAGGAGGCTGAGATCTGAGGATCACAGTTCAAAGCCAGCCTGGGCAGGAAAGTCTGTGAAAGTCATCTCCAATAAACCACCAGAAAACCAGAAATGGCGCTGTAGCTCAAGTGGTAGAGCGCTAGCCTTGAGCTGAAGAGCTGAGGGACAGCGCTCAGGCCCAGAGTTCAAGGCCCATGACCGACCAAAAAAAACCCCAAAAAACCAGTTTTCTCTTTTAGTCTTACTCCGGGTATCTAGAATCCTGTATAATTTGTCATATCTCAGTGCATTTTAGATCTAATTTCTGCATATCAGGATGAACAAATGCTGTTTGGTTCTCTGAGCTTGGCTTACCTCACTTAACATGATTTGTTCTAGTTCCATCCATTTCCCTTCAAATGACATTATTTTATTCCTTCTCATGGCTATATAAAATTCCATTGTGTGCAGGTACCACATTTTTTTGGATCCACTCATCTATTGTAGGGTATCTGGGCTGTTTCCATATCTTGGCCATAGTGAATAATGTGGCAATGAACATGGATGTGCAGGTGTCTTTATCATATCCTGGCTCATGGTGTTCAGGGTAGATTCCTAGGCGTGGTATGGCTGGGTCATAGGGATGGTCTGTGTTTAGGTTTTTGAGGAACCTTCAGACTGCTGTCCAGAGTGGGTTGTACTAGTTCACATTCCCACCAACAGTGCAGGCAATAAGGTTCCTTTTTCTCCACATCCCCACCATTTGTTGTTTGAATTCACAATGTTGGCCAATCTAATTGGGGTAAAATGTAATCTTAGAGTTGTTTTGATTTGCATTCCCTTTATAGCCAGGGATGGTGAGCATTTCCTCATGTGTTTCCTTGCCATTCTTACCTCTTCTTCTGAGAAGTCTCTCTTTAGCTCCCTTACCCATTTAATGGTTTCTTGGGTTTGGGAGGGGTTAGTTTCTTGGGCTCCTTGTATATATTGGATAGTAGGTCTTTGTCTGATATATTGCTGGTAAAGATCTTCTCTCAGTCTGTGGCTGTCTTTCTAGTTTAGTAATTATGAGACAGGCAAAAATTTAAAGCTATCCGTACCTTGCCTGTTTGGTATTACACACCTATAGGCCTACCTGCGTGGAAGAAGAGAGACAAGAGGAGGATTTCTTCGGAGTCTGCCTGGGCAACATGTGGAATCCCCCTCCCCCACAAAAAAGAGAAAACTAAAAAAAAATTATCTGTACTCAAATGATGTAAACGTTGACAGACATAAACAGTAATTGGGGAGGGAGATTATATAGTTCATTTAAAAATTCTTTTTGGGATTGGGGGCTGAGAATGTATTTGGTTTTGGATTCAGTCCTCAAGACTACCATGCAAATTTTAGAACATTCAAAGTCAGAAGTCTCCTGTAGTTTTGCTGTAGTTTTCATGAAGGAGTTCTGTATGAGGCAGGATTATATAAAGAACATGTTTTCTACTCAGTTCTGTCTGCAAAACATTTAGTGAATCTCTTAAGCTCTCTGTCCTGTTTTTGTTTGCTTGTTTGTTTCTTGGTCATTTGAGAAATAACAAGATCAGCCTTAGCCAGGGCTGATGGTACAGATTGTAACCCTAGCTTCTCTGGTAGCTGATACTGGAAGATCAAGAGTTTGAGGCCAGCTTGTACAATTGTAGCTCAATGGCAGAGTACATATGTAGCAGGCTCAGGATTCAATCTCTAGTCATGGTGGGGTGGGGGGAGGGAGAGGAGGTAAAGAGAGAGAAAGAAAGGAAGAGAGTACAGGGGGCCTTAGGGGATAATTTAGAAGGGTTGTGCTTGCTTATCATTTGGTTTAGAGTCATATGTATGCATTTTCTCTACAGCCATACATACTGCTGCTATGGACATGCTGGGAGGATCTGGTATTGAAAGCCAATGCAGAAAAGTTGAGATCCTTGCAGATGCTGCATATTCTATTTTCAAAAAGCCAAAAAGTTTTACTGGCAACTTTGTTATAGATGAAAATATCTTAAAAGAAGAAGGAATTAAGAATTTTGACGTCTATGCAGTTACACCAGGTATTACTTGCAGTTTTGGGTAATGATGTTTTTTGTATATAGGCAATGAATACATTTTTTTGTATGTGTATGTTTGTATGATTATAAGATAAAAAATACATCCTCTGAAAAACACACTATCTTTCCTTAAAAAAATGGACAAATAAGTCGAGTATTTTGAAATGATAGCTAGATACATTGGTTGTAACAGCTACTAGTCATTTCCAAATTTTGGAACCAAAAATGAAAATTAGCTTTTAAAGTTAGGCTTAAAATTAGAGTAACTAGGTACTGGTGGCTTACATCTATTATAATCCTAGGTACTCAGGAGGATCTAGGTTTGAAGCTAGCATGAATGACAAATCTGTGAGGCTCTTATCTCCAGTCAACCAGCAGAAATGGAGCTGTGGCTCAAATGATAAGGGTGTTGGCCTTGAATGAAAAAGCCAAGCAAGAGTGTAAGGCCCTGAGTTCAAGTCCCAGTTCTGGTACACACACACACACACACACACACATACACACACACACACTAAGGTTTTATTCAAAGTTGGGCGTAGTGGTACATGCCGGCAATCCTAGCACTTATGAGCCTGAGATAGGAAGACGGTCAGTTTGAGGGCATCCTGGGCCAGATAGTGAAATCTTATCTCAGAAAACAAAACAAAAAGCCCAAAGATTTTATTCAAAAATACATGGCAGATGATATGAGAATAGTTAAAATTGTGGATTAACTCTAATTGTTTTTGAAGTATGGTCTCTCAGAGTAGGTTGACAGATAGTGAGGGTACACACGTAGGGTCTGTCTCAAAAACAACCAAAAGCACTGGGAAGGTGGCTCAGTGATAGAGTGCTTGCCTTGTATGCAGGAAGCCCTGGGTTCGATTCCTCAGCACCACATAAGCAGAAAAAGCCAGAAGTGGCGCTGTTGCTCAAGTGGTAGAGTGCTAGCCTTGAGCTGAAGAGCTGAGGGACAGTGCCCAGCGTTCAAGCCCCATGACTGACCCCCCCAAAAAATAAAGCAACCAAAAATATATATGCATTTTCTAAACAAAGCCCTATGGCATGCGCCTGTAGTCTCAGCTCCTTGGGATGCTGAGGCAGAAGGATCACTTAGGCCTAGGTGTTAAGAGACCAGTTTGGGGAACATACAATTTCATCTCTGAAAAACAAGCAAACAAAAATTGTATTTTAAATATTTTAGCCACATATAGAAATTATATTTTTGTACTGAAGCATATTTTAAACAGTATTCATTAAACTGAACTTGTAAAGGTGACAAAAATCTTTGTATTTGTGTCATCCCTGACCATCTCTTCAGTTCCAGCAGGATAGCTGATACAGTATTACAGAGCTTTCATATACATTATCTATTTTACCTTCATAGCAGTCCTGAGAAGGAATTATTTAGTAATTAAAAACATGGAATTCTGCAGGGCCCTGGTGGCTTGCTCCTGTAATCTTAGCTACTGAGGTGACTAAGATCTGAGGGTTACAGTTCATAGACAGTCCAGGCAGGAAAGTCTCTGAGACTCATCTCCTGGAGCTGTGGCTCAAGTGATAGAGCACTAACACTGAGCACAAAAAAAGCTCAGGGACAGCACCAAGACCCTGAGTTCAAGTCCCAGGACCAGCACCAAAACAATAAAAACAACAACAAAGACAAAAATACATGGAATTTGGAAGAGAACCTCTCAGATTCAGATTTCAGCTCTGCTTTTCACTGCCTATGTATTTGAGCATGTCACTCACTTTCTGAGTCCCAATTTCCTTACTGATAACAGAAGATGATTTATTCTACACATAATTCTGCCAGAACTCTGTGTAATAACGTCTCTAATTGGTTTGGCACAGTATTTGGCCTTTTTATATCCATAGCCTTTAGTAGTTATTACTTATAAATGTAAAAACAGGTTTAGAGAGATTATGCCTTTGCTTAAGAGCTGGTTCATGGTACATTCTAATGATCCCTATAGATTTCAAAGACAGTATTATCATACATAAAAATTAAGATTGATTAAAATTAAAAAGTCCTGTTGATGAATTGGGCATACTTTATCTCAGCACTTGAGAGGCTGAGGTAAGATGATTGCCAACGCATGGTCAGCCTGTACTACATCTAATTAACTAACATTAATTAATTAACTAACATGAATCTTTGAAACATTCAGTTTTAAAGACAATGTTGCCTTCAAATCTAACATATACATGTCTTGGCAGTATCAGTCTAATGTTGCAAATTAACTTATTTTCTAACTACAACTGTTAGCTGAAAATAGAGCCTATTGGAAAAGGATACCTTAGTTTTTTATGATGATGAAGAAAGAGGAAGAGAGAAAAGGCCTAAATACAGGTCCCTGGTTCTCTGGGACAGGTAAGCAATGAGTCCTGAGCACTTTGGAGGAAGGGAAGACAGGGTTGTAAGGATGAGGAGAGGAATGGATCCTTGGATTGAAGAAAGGCCTTACATAGGGGATTTTTAAAAATTAAATCTTGAAGATGAAATTGTCATAGAAGAGGATAACTGAATTAAAGGAAAATTAATTAAATGAAGATCACTAGTTTGACAATTCTCATGAGACCTTTCTCAGAATGATCTTAAAATAAAAATGCATGTTTATAAAACGTTTATGTTAAAATTTTAATATATTGTATTTGTTATTTATTGTATTTTTATTAACCTGATTATTTGCTTGTTATTTTTTCAGGCCATCCTTTGTTACCAGATTTTTTCTTAGATGAATATCCGGATGTGGTTACAAAGACAAAGGAATCACATGGTAAGATCTAGACCATATTAGCACAGGAAAATACAAGTACTAACTAATTTATTTCTTCCAAAACACAGAATTGATTATGTAACAGTACATTTCTGCCCTCTGTCTTGAAACCATTTTATAACTCAAACCCAATGAGTTCTATGAGTTCTCAGTTGTTAGGAAGAAAATAGTTTTTTGTTTTTGTCTTCTAGCAACTTCTTAATATATCATTTTTTTTTAGTTATTCATTCTCATTTTACTTATTTTCTTTGACATACTGTCTTTGAGTATCTCATGTTGATAGGTTATTCTGAGGAAAAAAAAGTGACACATCAAAATGTGCTACTTATTTATATAACACATATAGTTTGTACTGTGACTACTTCATGGAAGGAATTAGCATCAAAGAAGGCTTGGTTTTATTTTTGTTTTTCTGATACTCAGAAACAATGGCCTCCTTGAATTGGTCCTTGTGTTCTGGCACCATGCTATGTGGCCTACTGAAGGCTGTCAGAAGAAACTTTTCTGAATATCCATTGCAAGAGTTTTTCTCATGGTTTACTAACCGGAACATGCTTCTTCTGGATCTTTACCCTATTTTTTTGAATCTTTTTTTTTTTTGCTGGTCATGGAGCCTGAACTGGGCCTGGATGTTCTTCCTCAACTCTTCAGCTCAAGGCTAGTGCCCTACCACTTGAGCCACAGCACCATTTCCAGCTTTTACTGCTTATGTTGTGCTGAGGAATTGAACCCAGTGCCTCATGCATGCAAGGCAAGCATTGAGCCACCTTCCCAACCCTTGAATCTTATTAATGCTTTGAATCATACATTTTTAGTTTTAGAAGGCTGATAAAAAAAATGTAAAAACAAACTTCCTCTATGCCTTTAGCAAATCTGTCAAACCTTACCACAATGCATTTTAGTATCAAAATATAGGTTCTGTTTTATGTGTTTATGTGTGTATGTGTGCATGAAGTGCTGTGGATTGAATCTAGGGCCTTGTGCATTCTAGGCACAAGGCCTAATGTTGTACCACTGAGCTATATCTCCAGCCCCGTTTAGTTTTTCCTTTTCTTTTTCTAAAGTTTTAAGGAAACCTAAAATTTACTTAGCTATCAAAAGGACAACTTTTCTTTTGTAACACAGAAAATATGGAAACTATAGAAAGGAAAATAATTCATAATTCTACTGTTCTTCAAAAAATTAGATCTTACCTGGGCACCTGTGGCTCATGCCTATAATCCTAACTACTCAGGAGGCTGAGATTTGAGGATCGTGGTTCAAAGCCATCCCGGGAGGAAAGTCCCCAAGACTCTTATCTCCAATAAGCCACTAGAAAACTGGAAGTGGCACTGTGGCCCAAGTGGTAGAGTACTCACCTTGAGCTGAAGAGCTGACGGACAGTGTTCAGGCCCAGAGTTCAAGCCCCATGACCGATCAGAGTAATAAGACTAGAAAAATAAAGTTGTCGGTCTTTTTCTCTCAAGGATTCTTACAGGATAGCAATTACCCAGAAGCTGACTAAAGTCTTTGAGAGTATGGCCCCATATCCTACTTTTGTTTTTTTTTTTTGTCCAGTACCCTAAGATTGGAGATACCTTTGCAGAAAGCCATACATGAACTGGGTTTATTTGAATTTTAAGTAAGAACTACTTTATTGATCATGTTTCCTTCATTTTATTCATTCAACAAATATTGATTGAGCACCTTCAATATGTCAATTTGCATGCGTTTTCTTGTTCAATACTCACAGTCCAACAAGACAAGGATCATTTACAACTAGCTGGTGTGGTTGCTAGCTAGTGGTGGTGGAAACTCAGGATTTAAAATCATATTTCTATAGTACCAAGCCTGTCTTTAGCTAGTGAATGTAGCAGATTTTCCTAAAGCCTAAACACCTACAATTCTTTTAAACTAGCATATTCTTTCCCCTAGTAATCCCAGATATTAACTTTTAATGAGGAGTTGCCATCTCATGGACTAAACATGTAGTTGCTATGATCAGCAGATTCTCCCTTTGGACTTATAGTAGCAACAGAATAAAAAGGTATTTTTTGACCATGGATTCAGAACAAGAGAAGTTGAATAATCAACTGTTAGATGCTGGCACCAGGCTTGGATAGGGGTGGTTGAACTCTAGCCATCTCCACATGAAGATTGTTCTTATCTTTCACTCTTGAGGTCAGAACACTCAAGTTCCTTTGGGTGATTACCCCCATAGATGGTTGGACAAAATACTTCTATAGCTCTTTCTTCTTGTCTTTTTGGGCCCATCCATAGCAAGACATTTGTTCTAAATACACTTATACAGGCAGTAGTCCAGTGTCTGTGACTTGAGATCTAAGTTTCCTCTTTCAGGTGATTTTCCATATTGATATCCAGATCCATCACATATTCACTTTACAGGTGATCTTTCAGAGATCATTGTGGATCCTCACTTGCAAAGTGAAAGAAGTTCACCTTCCCATTTCATCCAATACTTATTTTTAACTCAGGGTCTTGCACTCATGAGATAGGTACACTCACCAATTACATCCCTGATCTTTTCTTTCTTACTTACATTATTTTTTAAAAATAGGATTTATGTTTATATCTAGGCCAGCCTGTATCAGCATCTTATTTGTGATTCACTCATAGCTAGGACGACAAGTATGCTCCACCTTGGCTAGGTCTTTATTGATTGAGAAGAGCTCAGGTGAACTTTTTGCCCAGGCTTCCCTTGAGTCTTGATCCTCCTGATTTCTACCTCCCTAGGAGTGTACTCACTTACTAAGTAACTCTGGTTTACATCGGGTTATGCTTCTTATGCAATTTGTTCTGTGTTTACTAATTTCTATCATGTACATATAACTACTGTAAATTTTGTAGGTTTCATATGTGTGTGTATATGCATGTGTGTGTGTGTTTGTGTGAGTGTATTTGCTGGTACTAGGGCTTGAACCTCAGGCCTCTTACTCTTGCTTGGCTTTTTTGGTTACAGCTGGTGCTCTAAAACTTGAGCCTCATTTCCACTCTAGCTTTATTCTGGTTAATTGGAAATAAAAAGTCTCTCAGGGGGTTAGGGATTTAGCTCAGTGGAAGAGCACTTGCCTGGTTCAGTCCTCAGCTGAAAAAAAAAAAAGCTGGGCTGGTGGCTCACATCTATAATTTTAGCTACTCAGGAGGCTGAGATCTAAGGATCGCCATTTGGAGTCAGCCCTGACAGGAAAGTCTGTGAGACTTTTATCTCCAGTTAATCACATAAAAAAAGCTGGAAGTGGTGCTGTATCTCAAGTAGTTGAGTGCTATCCTTGAGCAAAAGAGTTCAGGGACAGGGCCCAGGCCCAGAGTTCAAGCTCTTTGGCCAGCTGCAAAAAATAAAAAGAGTCTCTCAGATTTGTCTGAGCTGTTCAAACCTTGATCCTTAGATTTCAACCTCCTGAGTAGTTACGACGATAGGCCTGAGCCACCAGTGTCTGGCAATTTTGTGGTATTTATTTATTTATTTATTGCTGGTCTCATGGACTTTCCTGCCCAGGCTGGCTCTGAACCATGATCCTCAGATCTCAGCCTCCTAAGTAGCTAGGATTACAGGCATGAGCTACAAGCGCCTGGCTAACTTTGTGGTTTTAATTCATAGCATTTTATTTCTCACCATAACACAGTACTTTTGTTTCCTTATTAGTTCCCCATGAACACTACACATTAGAACATTGGTAGCCTATCAGTAATTCTCAACCTCTCTCCCTTCGAATTTATTTACTTTTATTTAGTTGTGGTTTTAGTTGCTTCTATTCTGGTTGTCTGGATTCTCTTCAAAAAAATCTGGTTCCTATTTATTTATTTATTTTTGTTGATCATGAGGCTTGAACTCTGAACTCTGAACCTGGGTGCTGCCCCTGAGCTCTTCAGCTCAAGGCAAATGCTCTACCTCTTGAGCCACAGTGCCACTTCTGGTTTTCTAGTCTTTTTTTTTTTTTTTTTTTAGATAAGTATCTCACTGGCTTTTTTTTTTTTTTTTTTTTGGTCAGTCATGAGCCCCAACTCTGTCCCTGTGCTCTTCAGCTCAAGGCGAGCACTCTACCGGTTGAGTTACAGTGTCACTTCTGGTGTTCTAGAGGTTTATTGGAGATAAGTCTCATGGACTTTCCTGACCGGCCTGGCTTTAAACCATGATCCTCATATCTCAGCCTCCTGAGTTGCTAGGATAATAGGCGTGAGTCACCAGCGCCTGGCTTTTTATTTTTAAGTAGTTGTACAAAGGGATTTTGATTCAATATGTCAGTTTTAGTCCTAGTTTAATGACCCTTTTCCTTTAAGCTAGCACTGTCTCATTATGCCCATTTTTTTTCTTTTTCTTCTGTAGTCTGGAAAACTTTGTGAAATGTATCCTCTGTATTATGAAAAAGTTTGACAAGATTTTCTACAGTTTCATTTCTGTTCTCTGCCTCTTTTTTCCTCCCTGAGGCTTGGATTTGGGGTCTGAGCACTATCCCTTAGTTTATTTTCTCAAGCTGGCACTCTGCATTTGAGCCATACCTCAACATCAGGCTTTTTGATGGCTTGTTGAGAGAAGAGTCTCACAACCTTTCCTGTACAGGTTGGCTTTGAGCCTTCATCCTCACACTTAAGCTTCCTGAGTAGGATTACAAGCATGAGTCACTGCTACCTGGCTTGCCTCTAATTTTTAAGGAAACCCTCTTTGTTCAAATACTTAAATATAATAAAAAAATGTTTTAAAAAGAAACAAGCAAACTTAGCTGTTAGGCTTGTTTTTCAAGTTATCCATGTCCTCTTTTAATTTCTCCATTGTCTTTCCATTTCAGCCAGGTATATATCAATTTCTGCAGCCATTTCAGGCATTGTTTTTTTTCCCCCAGTCCTGGGGCTTGAACTCAGGGACTGGGTACTGTCCCTGAGTTTCTTTTTGCTCATGACTAGCACTCAATCACTTAAGCTACAGCACCACTTCCAGCTTTTTCTGTTTATGTGGTGCTGAGGAATCCAACCCAGGGCTTCATGCATGTTAGACAAGAACTGTACTGCTAAGCTACATTCCCAGCCCCAGCATTTTTTTTATGTTGAACATGGGGCTTAAACTCAGGGTCTGGGAACTGTCTCTGAGCTCTTTTGTTCAAGGCTAGTGCTCCAGCACTTTGAGCCACAGCTCCACTTTCAGTTTTTTGGTGGTTAGTTGGAGATATCATGGACTTTCCTGCTTGGGCTGGCTTCAAACCACAATCTTCAGATCTCAGCCTTCTGAGTAGCTAGGATTCAGGCATGAGCCTGTGACTAGCACTCAGGGGATGTTTATTTATGTATTATTTTTATTCAATTTTTATTTTATTATTATTTATTTAATTTTAAGTTTTTTCTTGTTATTATAGAGGTAATGTACAGAGGGGTTACATTACCTAAGTCAGGTAAAGAGTACATTTTTTTGGACAATGTCACCCTTCCCTTGCTCTAAGTCTTTATTTTTTAGAGTAGTTTTAAGCTCATAATATAATTGAGAGAAAGATACTCAGATTCTCCTGTACATACCTCCTACCTGAAAGTAAAAACATGCAGTTTGTTATAGTTGATCATATAGTATCCATGTGAAGTAAATTATCTTCGTAAAATAGACTCTTCCTTTTCAGAACAACCTTCTTTTACCCTTGTGCTACTCTTTTTTTTGTCATAGCATTAGGTTTTTGGTTCCCCCCCACTTATTTATACATCTTTAGGAGATATCTCTAGAGCTAGAGTAGTCAAATGATCAGGGTAGATAGTTTGCCTTTCTGTCTGAACTGTCTCTAAGCTGGTGAACCAACTGGCCTGGCCTCAGTAGGCACCCTCTCTCCAGTGTGCCCACCAGGGTATACCTATGGTTCTTCCCCTCTCCATTTTATAGATCACTACCACAGAACTCCTCCTACTGCTCCTGTCTTATTTGGAAACTTTAAGCTTTGGACTTGGATTTAAAAGATAAGAGTTAATATTGAAACTTGCTTGCAGAATCTAGATTAAAAATAGATATCTAAAAGAAATACATCTACTTAGGAAGAGAAGAAACAAGCAGAGCGTCAAGGAGACAACTGTTATAGAGGGTGAAAATGTCCCCATGAAGACCTTTTTGTTTGTTTTTGGTCGGTCATGGGGCTTGAACTCTGGGCCTGGGCACTGTCCCTCAGCTCTTCAGCTCAAGACAAGTGCTCTACCACTTGAGCCACAGCACCACTTCCAGTTTTCTGGTGGTTTATTGGAGATAAGGTTTCATGGCTTTTATCTTCCCCGGGCTGGCTTTGAACCATGATCCTCAGATCTCAGTCTCCTGAGTAGCTAGGATTACAGGTGTGAGCCACCAGTGCCCAGCTTGAAAGCCATTCTTTTGTATAATCACTATATTGCTAATAAATGTTTGTAAGAAATATTGAATCTTCCTTGAAAAGCAGCATCTGTAAAACAGAAGGACAGATCCTAGACTTGTAGTTGGTATAAGCCCAGATTGAACCCATGGTTTAAAAATCTGAGTGCTCTGTGTTTTGTTTGGGGTGGGGGGTTGGGGGACGGGGGGTGAGGCAGAGTTGTTCCTGCTTTGAGGAAATCTCAACCAGGCTTATGTTTCCTATGCTGATTCTGCATACTGTCTAATTGCTAACCATGTCTTTCTACATTCAAGCAAGGCAATATTGGAATGTGTGTCCACCTAGGAGATGTTTCGTATTGTCTTCCCTCCCACCCCCGGTGCTGTGGATTGAGTCTACAGGCTTGTACATATTAGACAGATGTTCTCTCTAGCCTTTTTTCAGTACATTAAAAATTTTAACTGAGTGGAATTAGGAGGATATAGCCTGGGCCACTAGCCATATGCCTTTTGAAATACTGTTTCTTCCCTGATTTAAGCTGGTCATCTACTGCCTGCACCTTTTACTTTTCTTTTTTTTTTAATTTAATTTAATTTTATTTGTGAACATACTGTACAGAGGAGTTACAATTACATGGGCAGGATAATGCGTACATTTCTTACCAAGCATTGCAGCCTCCTCCTTTGTTTACCCACCTTTTACTTTTCACATACATTGCAAGTTTCCTTATTGTCTCCTGAAGTTATATTCTCTTGTGTAACTTCATCATGTTTATATCTAAATACACCAGGTAATTAATAATGTACTTTATGTCTGGGCAACATCTTTAAGGCTATAACTGAAGGTTTTGCTACAATCTCATTGGCACCTGAGACAATACAGATAATGTGTCTTAATTAACTCACAAATCACCCTGACTCACTCCTCAATAAGGAAGTTAACTTTCTAAGTTAACTTAGAAAACAGATGTAGTTCTTGCTGGTGTAACTGCAATACAGCTAAACACATCTTCTGCTTACATGAAGGGAGCTGGGTGTCTTTGCTACCCTGGCTTTGGCAGCCTCTGATTCAGCTAATTTTGGTAAGTTCAGACCTCAGTTCTAGGCCAGCCTTTATGTTGGCTGGATAAAAATTGGATGATATAGAAGGAAATGTGGAGGAAGTATTACAAAAGGGTAAAATTGTAGGTTCTGGAGTACTACCATCTAGGTTGAAATTCCCGATATGCTTACTAAAGTATAAATTTGGCTGTGTGTGTGTATGTGCATGGGTGCATGTGTGTTGTGTGTATGTGCAGCTTGGATTCCCGTTGCCATTCGAGAACACATCTTGCTTTATGGGGGGAGGGAGGAGCTTGAACACTGTTCCTGAGCCTCTTTGTGCTCAAGGCTATCACTGTACCACTTGAGCCACAGCACCACTTCTGGCTTTTTCTGAGTAGTTTATTGGAGATAAGAGTTTCATGGGGGCTGGGAAGGTGGCTCAGTGGTAGAGTGCTTGCCTTGCATGCATGAGGCCCTGGGTTCAATTCCTCAGCACCACATAAGCAGAAAATAAAAAAGCTGGAAGTGGCGCTGTGGCTAAAGTGGTAGAACTAGAGCGTTAGCCTTGAGCTGAAGAGCTGAGGGACAGTGCTCAGGCCCCACGACCGGACCCCCCCCACAAAAAAAGAGTTTCATGGACTTTTCTGCCTGGGCTGGCTTTGAACCATAATCCTCAGATCTCAGCCTCTTGAGGAGGATTACAGGCATGAGCCACCAGCGTATGACCCTATCTTACTTTTTTTTTTTTGGTCGGTCATGGGGCTTGAACTCTGGGCCCGGGCGCTGTCCCTCAGCTCTTCAGCTCAAGGCTAGCGCTCTACCACTTGAGCTACAGGGCCACTTCCGGTTTTCTGGGCCCAGAGTTCAAGCCCCACCACCGACAAAAAAAACAAAACAAAACAAAACTTTAATTTTCTCATTCAGTTACTGACTTAAAAAACACAAAGCCATTCATTTAGTTGTAAAAGTTGCTAAAAGGTTGGCATAATTGAAAATATTTCCCATATTTTATCTTTAAATGTTTTTCTTCATTAAAATTTCTAGGAAATTGCATAACCCATTGTATTTTATTTATCTGACTTTAAGTTATATTTTTAATTCTATTCATTTGTTTTCTGATTCATTACTTTTTTTTTTCTTTTTTGAGCCACTTGAGTCACAGCTCCACTTGTGGATTTTTTGGTGGTTAATTGTAGATTAAGAGTCTCACAAACTTTCCTGCTCAGGCTAACTTTGAATTATGATCTTCAGATCTCAGGCTCCTTAGTATCTAGAATTATAGGCCACTGTCACCTACCAAGAAAGGTGTTTTTTTTTTTTTTTTTTTCCTGTCAGTTGTGGGGCCTGAACTCTGGGCCTGGGTGCTGTCCCTCAGCTCTTCAGCTTAAGGCTAGCACTCTACCACTTGAGCCACAGCACCACTTCCTGCTTTTTCTGCTTATGTGGTGCTGAGGAATTGAACCCAAGGCCTCATCCATGCAAGGCAAGCACTCTACCACTAAGCCACCTTCCCAGCCCAAGATAGGTTTTTAAGATTCAGATATCTAAAGCCAGGCGCCAGTGGCTCATGCCTGTAATCCTAGCTACTAGAGAGGCTGACATTTGAGGAACATGGTTCAAAGCCAGCCTGGGGAGGAAAGTCCATGAGACTCTTATCTCCAGTAAACCACCAGAAAACCAGAAGTGGCACTGTAGCTCAAGTGGTAGAGTACCCGCCTTGAGCTGAAGAGAGCAGGGACAGCGTCCAGGCCCAGAGTTCAAGCCCCAGAACCGACAATAAATAGATAAATAAATAAAAATTCAAATGTCTAAATATCACTGCCATTTTTATTAGGATTTATTATTTTTCCAGTCATTATTTGCTTTGCAGAATGATTAGAATGTTCACTTAGCTGTTGATTCTAACTATAATCTCTAGCAAGACTAATTACACAGTTAACATTTTGATTTCCATCTTTCTCAGGGTCTTTTTTCCCCCCTTGGCTTTAAAACTGAATGGATATAAGAGAGTGATTAATTATCATCTCCAAAATGCAATTGTTTTTTATGAGGTCTGTTTATCATAAACATTGTATTGTTAGCAGTGGTTTGTTTCTGTTTTGGTTTTGTGACGTAATCTGAAAGTGAGCCTTTTACTTGGGAGTACAGGTCCTTCCTTGTATTTATAGTCATAACTGATATAACTGGCTGCTGTCTCTCACATTGATGCTTTTAGATATCATTTGGTCAAATAGGTCTATTTGATAGCAAGGGCATCTTGCTAATTAATGAATTCTTTTCTTTCTTTCTTTCTTTTTTTTTGCCAGTCCTAGGGCTTGAACTCAGGGCCTGGGCACTGTCCCTGAGCTTCTTTTGCACAAGGCTAGCACTCTGCCACTTGAACCACAGCACCACTCTTGGATTTTTCTGTTTATGTGGTATTGAGGAGTTCATACATGTTAGGCAAGCACTCTACTACTAAGCTACACTACCAGCCCAGCTAATAAATTCTTTGTGTGCCCTTCCATTACCAAGGATTTAAGGCCATTTACCTGAATAATATTTTATAGATGCTGTGCCAGAACCAAAGAAGCCAAAAGAACCAAAGGAACTAAAGGAAGAGAAGACGCAGCCACCACCAAAAATGCATACTGGAGCTGTGGAAGAAACATTTCGAATCGTTAGGGATTCTCTCAGTGATGATGTTGTTAAAGCCACTCAAGCAGTATATCAATTTGAACTCTCAGGTAAGGGTTGTGTCTGATAATCTGGGGCTTTTATGAATACAGTGGGATGTTTCTTCTGGAATAAATTCAGCCTCCGGTAGTGACTACCTAAAGGTCACTGGATCCAAGATCTTGAATGAAAACATTGAAGGATTCTGGCCTTGAGCTGAAGAGCTGAGGGACAGTGCCCAGACCCAGAGTTCAAGCCCCATGACCGACCAAAACAAAACAAAACAAAAAAAGTATAGGAAAACATTGAAGGATAATAGGAATCAGTGCATAGGGATAAATGGAAAATACAATTTCATTGCATATACTTCAAATGTTAAATATCTCCTTGGCATGTGAAATGGATGGGAAATCTTACATAGACAGGTATATATGCATTGACAGGTAGGGTAACTCGATAATGTATCAACCATGGGTCCCTTAAGTTATCTTTGAGATAACGTGAATGGAGTCAGCTGTTAAAAACTTAATAGTTTTCCTACATATTATAAAATGAACACAGTTTAGTGGTAGTTTTAAGAACTAGGCCTGATACCTTGGCACATGACTATAATCCCTAAGGCAGGTTTATGGAAACTTTGAGGCCAGCCTGAGTTCTTTCTCAAAATATAAAAAGGGGTTTGTTATATAGCTTAGGGCTGAGTAATGATCCTGCAGGTATGAAAACCTAGGATTAATCCTAGGTCTTCAGCCTGGTGGTTATAGCTTAGTTTTTCACTCAAGGCAGGCATTCTACTATTTAGATACACTTCCATTTTTGGCTTTTTTGCTGGTTAAATGAAGATAAAAGTCTTACAGTCTTGGGCTGGGAATGTGGCTTAGTGGAATAGTGCTTACTTAGCATTCATGAAGCCCTGCGTTCAATTCCTCAGTACCACAAACACAGAAAAAGCTGGAAGTGGTGCTGTGACTCAGGTGGTAGAGTACTATCCTTGAGCAAAAGAAGCTCAGGGACAGTACCCAGGCCCTGAGTTCAAGCCCCAGGACTGGCCAAAAAAGAAAAGAAAAAAGAAAAAAAAAGTGTCATTTCTGCCTGGGCTGGATTCAAACCATCATCCGCAGAGCTCAGCCTCCTCAGTAGGCAAGATTGTAGGCATGAGCCACCAGCACCTGGCTTTTGCTTCCTTTTTGTCCTTGGAATCTGTGGTCTATTGCTTAGTCACTCTTCTAAACTTGTAGGACTCTGTTATGTGATCAGCTGTCAGAGGACTAGTTTTGTGTAAATCATATTGCCCCTGGCCTGTAATGGTCCCAGGTTGCTAAGTCTTGGTGGAGGAAGAAACACGCCACCTAGTGGGTCTGTACAGGAGAAAGTCATCATTGTCCTTTCTTACATAGGATTTAAATACTGTGTTTTTCACTTACTGCCTCATTTCCCACAGTGGTTACTTTTTAAACCTTCTGAGATGCCTACATACAGAAACTGCTTTGTCTTCCTGCCAGAAAATATAAATCAATCTGCATAGGTCCTGTCCTTTCCTCCTTTCTGCCCAATATAGCTGTTTTCATTCAGTGTACCCTAAGTTGTTTTTTTTTTTTTTTTTTTCAGCCAAGGGGCTTGAACTCTGGGTCTAGGCGCTCTTCAGCTCAAGGTTAGTGCTCTACCACTTAAGCCACAGTGCCACTTCCGGTTTTCTGGTGGTTTATTGGAGATAAGAGTCTCACGGACTTTCCTGCCTGGGCTAGCTTTGAACTGCGATTCTCAGATTTCAGTAGCTAAGATTACAGGCGTGAGCCACCAGCTCCCAGCTACCCTAAGCTTTAATGTCTATATAGTACCAGTTTCAATATGGATCCCATGCTGGCCTCAAACTCATTGACAGTCTTCCTGCCTCTGCTCCTGTACTGGAATTATAGTCATGGCTTGGCTAGTTTGTTTTTTTTTATTGCGGCAAAATATACATAAAATATACCAGACATAAGTAAAATACATTTTAAATATTTATAAATGTGTGATTCAGTAGTATGTACATTCACACTGCCAAGCAACCATCAGCACTCTCCTTCTCTAGAACTTTGTTTTTTTTTTTGTCCATTGTAGGGTTTGAACTCTGGGCCTGGGCGCTCTCTCTCAGCTCTTCAGCTGAAGGCAAGCGCTCTACCACTAGAGCCACAGCACCACTTCCGGTTTTCTGGTGGTTAATTGGATATAAGAGTCTCACAGACATTCCTGCTTGAGTTGGTCTTGAACCACAATCCTCAAATCTCAGCCTTCTGAGTAGCTAGGATTATAGGTGTGAGCCACTGGCGCCCAGCCTTTAGAACTTTTTCATTATCCTAAATTCACTTTCTGTTCCCATTAAACAGTGACTCCCCTTTAACCTCTAGTCCCACTGTTCTGTCTGCATGAATTTTTACGTGTCTTGCTTCCATATTAGTATACTCCTATATCATCTTCCACTTTCAGGCTCTTGTGAGAACATGTTTTTCCTGTTTATCAAAGGGCTTTCAAAACTTAGTATTGTACCAGGAACATAGTAAGTTCTCAGTAAATATTGGTTGAATATGATTGATAGAGGCCTAAAGGTTGTACCCTGAGAAGCAGGATATTGGAAGATTATTCTGATCTTGATAATTATTGTTTATTTCCATATGTTTGTTTCTGTATAGGTGAAGATGGTGGCACTTGGTTTCTTGATCTGAAAACCAAGGGTGGGTATGTGGGACATGGAGAGCCCTCAGATCGGGCAGATGTAGTGATGAGTATGACTACTGATGATTTTGTCAAAATGTTTTCAGGTAAGTTTTCAATTTTGTAAGTTCACTTATTGTTCAGGGAAATTATTTTTTGCAGTACTGGCAACTGAACCCAGGACATTGTACATGCTGGGCAAGTATTTACCACCTGAGTTATGCCTCTAACCCTTTTACTTGTTTGTTGTTGTCTTGTCGCCATCTTGGGCCTTGAACTCTGGGCTTAGGTGCTGTTCCTAACCTTCTTTTGCTCAAGGCTAGCACTATACCACTTGAGCTCCAGTACACCACTTCTAGTTGGTTTTTTTTTTTTTTTTTGTGATTAATTGGAATAAGATTCTCACGGACTTTCCTGCTCAGGCTGACCTTGAACCTTGATCCTTAGATCTCAGCCTCCTGAGTAGCTAGGATTACAGGCATGAGCCACTAGTGCCTAGCTGTATACTGTTTTTGAGGAAGAGTCTTGTCACTAACTTTGTCTAGGCTAGCTCCAAATTCACAACTTTCCTGTATCCCAAATAGCTGGGATCATAGACATGTACCACAATACCTGGCTTGTTCAGAAAATTTTTTTAATGATTTTAAAATATTTTATTTTATTCCTTTCCAAATAATTGAGACTCATAACTGTTCCTAACAGTGGAATTATAGCTGCTGTCTGTGTTGAAGAACACAGACTTGTGAGGCTGTAGTTAATCTTGCCTCTACTGTCATTTCTACTTCATCCAACAATCACAGAGTAGCTGTCAGGTCTTGCTCTTTGTTTTATTTTGTATTGTTTTTACATGACTCAGAAGCTAACAATGTAACATTGGAAGCAGAGAGAGAATTCAGAGATTCCTAAGTGGGCTTCATTCTGCTAGCCGAACTAAGATACCGTATTTCCAGTAACTCCATGGAGACCAAAGGTGCAGGAGTCAGCACCTCACTTACTGAGGGCAAAGTCCTGCTTCCAACTTGCAAGGTACTGGAATAGGAAGTGGATGCAGCCTTCTGCCCCAGCCCAGTGAACCTGCCTTCTGGGGAAGGCCTAACCAGAGAAACTTTTTGCATGATTTTCTTTCTATTCTGTTCATTGACAGTGCCAGAGAAATTTAAAGAGTAATTTTCTGTACTTTTATTCTTAGAATACTACTCCAACTGGTAAGTTAATTGACTCAATTTGGAAAAAGTCAGAAGCAGCACTTCAAAGCACTATAAGGAATCCTTCATGTAATGAATCATAAATTTTATTCAAACTTTGTTCTGTTTTAATCTTGACAAACAGGATCACAGTATATTCTGTACTCTCGAATTCCAGTTCTAATCAAGGATATCAGGATGTCCAAGCCTATCTGTCTTTGATGCCCCAATGACCAAGATGTCCTAACTTAATCCTTTTTTGTAGTAGTGTTAAATATTAATTATACAAAAATTGCTTATAAAACAAGATACCAGGGGCTGGGAAGGTAGCTCAGCGGTAGAGTGCATGCCTTGCAAGCATGAGGCCCTGGGTTCAATTCCTCAGCACCACATAAACAGAAAAAGCCGGAAGTGGTGCTGTGGCTCCAGTGGTAGAGCGCTAGCTTTGAGCTGAAGAGCTGAGGGACAGCGCCCAGGCCCAGAGTTCAGGCCCCATGACCGGACCCAAAAAAAAAAAACAAAAAAAAAAAAACAAGATACCATTTTTCCATTGTATATAATATTTTACCACAGTACTGAAAAATTGACTTTAAATATAAATGTATGTGCATGTGTACTTCTACATACTTCTAAATAGTATATATACTTGTACATACCAATTTATATAAATATATATATGCTTATAAAACATGATACCAATTTTACTTGATAATTTTTTCCCATTGGACATTGTATCTTTCAGTGTTACAGTCTAATTAATTTTAGTTCTTCAAAACTATTTCTTCGTAGAACTGAAATGGTACTTTAGATATACTTAATTAGCACCCAATGAATGTATGGAAACATGCATCTTATATTCTTTAAGCTGGGTGCCTGTGGCTCACACCTGAAATCCTAGCTCCTCGGGAGGCTGAGATCTGAACATTGCAGTTTGAAGCCAGCTAAGTCAAGAAGGCCACGAGACTCTTATCTCCAATTAATCACAGAAAAAGCTAGAAATGGCACAGTGGCTCAAGTGGTAAAGTACTAGCTAACCTTGAGCAAAAGGAGCCCAGGGACAGTGCACAGGCCCAGGACCGGCAAGGACAAACACAACAAACTCTTTAACTTAAAAACTACTTAAAACTGTTGTCAACATTTAAACTAAAACATTAATTTGATCTAATATTTACTGTATGATGGTTGTGAATTAAGAAATATACTCAGCAGTCCTTTGAGATAAAATATTTTCACCATTTTATAGAAGTAGAAACTGAAACACTTATGAATAACTAAATAACAAACCCAAGGTCAGATAGTAAATGTGTAAATGATGGAGCCAGGATTTAAATCAATGTGAACACCAAAATTCCTCCTCTCAGTGCTGTTCTGACTGACCTCCTAAGTTGAATCCATGGCTTCTTTAATTTACCTTTTGGTCATAGAGTGTTAACTTGAAATAATAGATATGTTGTTGCATTAACTAAGTGGTTCAGCCAGCCATGTGAACTGTTCAAAATACATTAGTAATTATGAGGTGTATTTTGTAAGCAACACTTTATAGATGGGTAGCAAATTTGCTTTTCCTTCTTACATACTTTCATCCTATTTATCTTATCTGCTTTTCTTCAAATGGGCATAATTTAGATCATAAGCATAAGTCTCTTCAGAAATCGCTGCCATTTCTATGCGTAAATATATAATAGAATATATTATAAATATAACATCCTCAAGCAACTAGTAATCAAATTATCATAATCTCTCCTTTAGACCAGTAGAGGCCACTGTGTAATAAAGCAGTAAGATAGAAAAGAAATTGACCTGGTTTTAGTGGCAAGTGCCTGTCAGCCTAGCTATTCAAAGGCTGAGGCTTGACTGCTTGAGTCCTGGAGTTCATGGCCAGATAGGGCAACATAGCAAGACCCAGTCTTTTTGTAATTTCTTTATCTGCTCCTCCTGCGTGCGCACGCACGTGCGTGCATGTGCACACACACACACACACACTCCATTGTTATACTGTGCTAAACAGCTATTTTTTAAAAAAAATTTTTATTGTGAAAATACTGTACAGAGGGGTTACAATTACATGAGCAAGATAATGAGTACATTTCTTATCAAGCATTGTAGCCTCTTCCTCTGTTTCCCCTTACAGCTATTTTTTTTAATTTGTTTTTAACAGCATTGTTAAGGTTGAATTTATCCCATATTGTTTATCCACATTTCAGCTTATGAGCATTTGAATTGTTTCAAGTTTTAGACTATTATGAATATTGCCAGACCAACATTGTGTTTTTGTTTTCTTTTTTGTATGTGAACATTTGTGTGTGGAGGGGGGCGTTGTCCCTGAGCTTTTTCACTTTGAGTGACAGCTCTACTTCTGGCTTTTTTTGGGTGGGAGGGGGGCTTTTGGTGGTTAATTAGAGATAAGGCTCACAAACTTTTGTGCCTGAGCATACTTTGAACTGCAGTCCTCAGATCTCAGCCTCTTGAGTAGTTAGGATTACAGGCGTGAACCACCTGCACCCAGCTCTGAACACTCTTATACATATATTTGTGTAGATAGATGCTTTCATTATTTGTGGGTAGATTTCTAAGAGTAGAAATTTTACATGTAGCAAGTTGAATTTAACTTTTTAAGAAATTATCAAATGGTTTGCTAAAGTGACTATTTTTACATTCCCATCAGCAATTCATGAAGGTTCCAGTTTCTCTACATGGTCGCTAATGCTTATGATTGCCATTTTATTCTAGCCATTGTAATGGGTGTGTGTAGAGATCTCATGTCATTTTAATATATGTTATTAATTATTAATGATGTTGAACATCTTTTCATATGTTTGATGGCTATTTATATTTGGTGAGCTATGTATTCATAGCCTTTGCTCATTTGAGTTGTCTATTATTGAATTATAAGAGATTGTGATTGTCATAGTATTGATTAATATGATTAGATATTCTTATCTTTATATAACTATGAATGTACAGATTTTATCATATACATACTTAGAGATACTAAACATATCATTATAAAGATATATTTTCTATATATAAAATATTTATATTCAGAATGCATGTCCTTTTTTTTTCTTTTTGGCAGTACTAGCACTTGCTTATGCTTTCTAAGCAGGTGCTTTAACATTTGATTCACATCTCGATGTCTAGATTGGATGCATGCTCTTTTTATTATTTATTATTTTTACATAGTGGTACAAAGGGATTTTAATTCAAAATACCAATTTATGAGTACAATGTACCTTGATCACTGTCATCCCTTACCTTGTTCTCCTCCATTTCTCCCAACCCCACCTCAAGTTAACTGCTCCATTTTCACATATTGGCTATTATGACTGTATTCACCTACCCTTCCTCTTTGCATGTGTCTGCTCTCCTGCCTCTTGACCTCCCTCTTCTGACAACTCATGTTTCAGCTTCCTGGTATTCATTCCATTAAACTGTCAGTTGTTCAAAGGAGTCACACCATTGGAATACCATACTGTGTATAACATACTTCAGTCAAGTTGTTGTGTGTATATGACCCTGTATATGTTGTCATATATGTTTATAATTTAGATCTAACTTCCACAGATTAGAGAAAAACATGTGCCCTTTGTATCTCTGAGCCTGAGTTATTTCACTTAATATAATTTTTTTCCAGGTCCATCTATTTCCCTGCAAATGACATATTATTCTTCCCAATGGATGAATAAAATTCCCATACACACATACATATACATACCACATTTCTTTGTTGATGCATGTTCTTTATCAAACATGTAATTTCCTTTTTTCTCTGTATTTGTGGCTTTTCTGTCTTTCCCTACCTTTTTCTCTCCCTCCCTTTCTTCTTTTATTCCCCTTCCCCACCCCCAGTATTGAGGATTGAATAATTGAGCCTACTGCTTGCTAGGAAAGCACTCTACCATACTTGAGTCAGGCCCATAGTCCTCAATTTCTTGAAGTTAAACTTGAAATAACTAAAAGTTGAATGATCTATAACAAATTAGAAATTTTACTGAAATACATACTACTTATTTACCAGAATTCATCTTAGGGTCATGTTTCTTTTAGTGTACTGTAAGAAATATGTCTTTAGCTTTTTCCATAATCTTTTGCTGATCATTTTTTATGTAATCCCTCATATACAGGATATTGTAAGCATCTAAGTCAGGGATTGAGACTCCCTAGATATACTGATAAAAATGTTGTAGTAGAAATTTGTATGCTTCTGACATTTATATAACTCAAGGAAATTCTTTTTATAATGCATATTTTTGAAAGAGTACATCTTTGGGTCACTAATGGTTGCTTTGCCTTCTCTCATTTTTCTCATTCTAGGGAAACTAAAGCCAACAATGGCATTTATGTCTGGAAAATTGAAGATTAAAGGAAACATGGCCCTAGCAATCAAATTGGAAAAGCTGATGAATCAGATGAATTCCAGACTGTGAAGGAAAAGAAACAAAAATATTGACTATGCTGAAAAAGTAAAAAAAGCTCAACAGTTAAAATCTAATGCTCATTGTCTTCCTTATTATTTTCAAGAATACACATGTTCTAGAAAAAAAGTAGAATTTATCTATAAAACTTGACATAATTAAAGCAGCTAGCTGAATCAAACATATTTTATTAAATTCTATGACATTGTGTTCTTTATATTCTGACAGATTCCTCTATGCCTTATATCTCATTCTCTTTCAGGAAAAGTATATAGTGAACAACCAACCAGGTCAAGCAGTAAAATTAGCTCTGTATGCAGCTTCTTCTTATGTTTGTCCTCCCTCAAAGACAACTCAGATAAGGAATGCTCAACTTGTAGTATCTCTCTTCTTTTTTTAGGCCTTTAGTTTTGCTCAGCATTTTTTTTTTGTGGGGGGGGGCGGGGGGTGGGGGTGTGTGTGTGTGTCATGGGGCTTGAACTCTGGGTGCTGTCCCTTAGCTCTTCAGCACAAGGCTAGTACTCTACCCATTGAACCACAGTGCCACTTCCAATTTTCTGGTGGTTTATTGGAGATAAGAGTCTCATGAACTTTCCTATCCAGGCTGGCTTCGAATGTTGATCCTCAGATCTCAGCCTCCTGAGTAGCTAAGGATTACAGGCATAAGCCACTGGTGCCCGGCTTCAGCAGTGTTTTATGGGTTTACGTATAAAATATTTGCATGTAGGATTTTTTAAACAAAAACTTACCCATAAACATTTCATGTTATTAATGCTATTTGAAATAGCTTTTCGAATTTCAGTTTTTAATTTTTCTTTGCTAATACATAGAAATATAATAAAATTTATAAGTAGGCCTTACATCCACTTAACTAGTTTTAGCTTTATGTGAAGATTTTGCAGGATTTTTTTAAAAAATATATAATCATGGTAACTGCCAATAAAGATAATTTTATCTCTTCTTATTCATTGTACCTTTGTTTCTTTTTCTTGTTGTATTGTACTGTTAGGCTCAAGTATAGTGGTGACTACTGATGGTGAGAATGGACATCCCAGTCTGAGCATCATAGTGAGACTTTCTCAGAAAACCAACCAAACCAGTTTGTTGACATAGAAATACCATGCATACCATTCTCTTCTTACAGTGTATAATTCACTGGGTTTTAGTTATATTCACGGTTAATCAACCATGTCATCACATTTTTAGAACATTTTTATTAACCATAAAAGGAACTGTACTCCAGTAGCATTTATCTCACTCACATTGTCACTAAAATCTCTTAGCTATAGGCAACCCCCAGTAAACTTTCTCTTGCTGTTGATTTGCCTATCCTGGGTGTTAATATAACCATCATGACTGGCTTTTCAATTCCTTGTCACCTTGGGCATAGTTAAAACTGACTTTCTTGCCTGGCGTGGGTGGCTCATGCCTGTAATCCTAGCTATTCAGAGATCTGAGGATTGAGGTTGGAAGCCAACCCAGGCAGGAAAGTCCGTGAGACTCTTATCTCCAATTAGTCCCAGAAGAAGCTAGAAGTGGTACTGTGGCTCAAGTGGTAGAGTGCTAGCCTTGAGCAAAAGAAGCCCAAGGATAGTGCACAGGCCCAGAGTTCAAGCCCCAGGAAGAGCAAAAACAAACACAAAAAACACTTTATTCCTCATCCCAAGGACTCCACATATCCCCAAATTGAAACCTATAAAAAAAATTCCCTGCTTATAAATGTTTTCTTTCTATAGTTTTAGTTTTTAGTGCTAGTCCTGAGGCTTTGATCTCAGGGTCTTGGTGCTATCTCCTAGATTTTTCATTCAAGGCTGGTGTTCTACCACTTGATGAGACTGTTTTAAGAAAACGTTTTTTTTTTTTCTTAAATCAATTTTTTTTTATTGTCAACTTAGATTTTGTTGTCTTAAAATCCAAAGGGATCTTCCTATTTTATAGCTAGTATGAACAGTACTGATATGAATATTCATGTACAAGTCTTTGTGCTGCCATATATGGTCATTTCTCTTGATTATATATGCCTATGGGGAGAGCTGCTGGATTGTGGTAATTTTGTGTTTAGCCTTTTGAAGACTTGCCTACTTTCTAAAATACCTGCACCATCTTACCGTCCCACTAAGAACTGAATAAGAGTTGATTTTCCATCACAAAGGCTTAGTACTGTCTTTTTTATAAACATCATGGTGGATGTGTAGTGGTATTCCTTGATAGCTCTATTTGATTCTTACGAAATCCTAATTCTCTAGTGAAATTGTCCATTCTGTTACTTGTGTTTTGAACATATTATAGGTATTCTAAAGGTTCTAGCTAATAACTAGGATATCTAGAACATGTACCTATGATTCCATTGTCTTTTTTTGTCCTGGTTTTTATTAAGCTTGTTTTTTTCTTGGCATGTTTGGTAATATTTGGTGGAGTCCCAGATATTATTTATGAAAAATTATAAAGCACTTCTACTAAAGTCCACTAAAGAGCTTTTTTTTTGTTTGTTTTTTGGGTCCAGTCGTTGGGCCTGAACTCTTGGCCTGGGTGCTGTCCCTCAGCTCTTCAGCTCAAGGCTAGTGTTCTATCACTGGAGTCACAGCGCCACTTCCGGCTTTTTTTTTTTTCCTGCTTATGTGGTGCTGAGGAATTGAACCTAGGGCCTCAAGCATGCAAGGCGAGAGCTCTACCACTGAGCCAACTTCCCAGCCCAGCAGGAAGACAGAATATTTGAAGTTCATCTTGATCCAACCAGAGACTAAGGTAGTACAAGGCTATTTAGGTACTGGTCGGACTATTTCAGATTTGCTTTTGTTTCCAGTGTATATAGTTGTTAAGAGTTACAACTGAAACTCATGTTTACAAGGGCCCTTCCTTCCTATTTAATTTCCACAACACCAAGAGACAAAGATTTCCACTTATTTTTTTTCCTCTTAGCAGTTTGCTTTCTGCTTCTCTTCATGGCTTTTTGTGCTTTTTTTTTTTTTTCTTAAGATTAGGAATCCACAAGTGCTTTGGAGGAGAATGGCAAAGTGATACTTTATTTTGGTGGCACTGATGTTTGAGCTCAGGGCCTTTTGCAGCTTGTTAGGCAAATATTTTAACATATTTCCATCCTTTTTTTTTTTTATGGTCTTGCGCTTTTGCTTTTGTCCTGGACCAGACTCCAACCAGCCTCCACACACAACCTGTGTGTTCCATCTAGCTTGGATTACAGGTGTGTGTATCATTACTATAATTACATTGTCTAGGACCTTGGCCTGACAAAGGCTTAGGTGTCTTAACAGAATGACATATAAATTTTATGTCTTCAGCCCAATGAGACTGTCCCATACTCTAAAAGCTACTCTCTCTGTGGCTTCTATACTCATCACAAATTGTCAATGCTCTCAACAAGAAAAAGTGGCTAGGAATGTACTATTCACTTCAAGATATTTCCTTCTTCCTTACTGTTGAACTCTCAAGGACTGGTTGACTAGATTATTCTCTAGTAGTTATAAGCAGCTTTTATAATTCTCAGTGAGAGTTAATTTGCTTAACACTATATCCCCAAATCGCCACAAGAATGCATATATGTACACGCATATATACATATGCATATACTTTTAAAGTTAATGTGGTAAAAATGAAACAAAAATAGTGTATATACTTAAACTTAGATCTCTATATTTCAATTTAGATCTCTAGAACTTTTTCATTTTGCAAAAAGTGAAACATATTCCACTGAGTATAAACTTTCCATCTTCCACCCCCTCCTTGTTACCACTGTTCTACTCTGTGTTTCCATTATTTTGAACACGTAGGTACCTCAGGTAAGTGGGATCATCCAGTATTTGTCTTTCTGCCACTGACTTATTTAGAATAATGTCTCCCAAATTCAAGGAAGTTGCAGCATTTGACATTACTTTTTTGTGTGTGCTATGTGTGAATATTTGCTCTTAAAAACAAGGCTTTAAACTTTTGCTTGGCTTTTCCTCGAGGCTGGCACTCTACTGCTTGAGCCACATTTCCACTTCTAGCTTTTTGGAGATAAGTCTCAAAGACCTTTCTGCCCAGTCTGGCTTCAAACCTTGATTCTTAGATCTCAACCTCCAAAGCAATTAAGATTACAGATTACATCCAGAATTTTTTCAAGGCTGAATAGTCCATTGTAAGTATATGTAACATTTTATCCATTTATCTGTCAACTGACACTTAGATTGCTTTCACCTCTTTATATATTGTGCATACACTGACTTATCTTTAAGACCCTGACTTCAAGTCTTTTGGATACATACTCAGAAGTAAGTCTGCTGGAGCATGGTTCATATGATTATTACACTTCTAGTTTTTTTTGAGGACCCTCCATACTGTTGAGATGTACAAATCGTTATGTCTATGTCGAAAAATGAACTTTACAACTTGGGGGCGGAGGGGGGGTAGCGGGGAAGATTAGGTGGGAGGGGTGGGGGAGGGGGGGAGGATGGGAAGGGATGGGAAGGGGAAACAAAGGAGGAGGC